AGTGTTTCTGTGATTCTGTGAAAACGTAATGCTATTCATATTTCAGTATTAAAAACCATTAAAAGTGCTTTTTGTGAGCATGTCCTAGTTTATTCTCTGTTCTGTCTGCAAAGCAGGCACAAAACCACATCTGTTATAATTTTCTAAAGTTATATTTAATCTTGAAATAGTGTTTCCTATTATTAAGTTTCTTTTATTCAGTACAATTACTACTGGTTAGTAGAAATACTGTACCGATCGGCTAAAGATTTAATGCTATTTCTGCCATATATCGGGAATAAATTAACAGGTTCATACACTACACATCCAGTTGTAGAAAAGGTATTTAAAATTATAATAAAATTTAATTTTAATGTTAAGGGAAAATTCAACTAGAAAATATGAATAAAAATTGAGAAACACTTAAGAATTGTGTGAGGATGGAGATCGGGTGTCTCTATCTCAACGCCTTCTAGATTGAGATTCTAGAGGGACCAGCACAAAGATATCTAAGCTAGCTGCAAACTTATTATATTAATAACATACTACGTTTTTGTGGCTGCAGGCTGGTTCTCTTTGCAGATCCTTTGGGGCTGTGCATATGCATTGCATGTTTTATCCGGAAGCATCATAAGGTTAATGGAGATGTGGCTGTAAATAGAAAATAACTGCTCATATGATATGCAGAGGATACACACATTCATGGTACATTAATAATAATAGAGGTTAGGATTCAGAATAGTCAAGAGTACTTATTAAAATGGGCCCATGTCACAAAAAAGCTGTAAATACAAGGCTACACATAGATGAGATGATTGCAGCCCTGTGCATCTACATCTTGGGAGTTTATATCCTGGAATACAGCAACTACTAATGACCCAGGGTTTATTACTCACCCAGTGAGTCAGCAACCTGGAATGAACAACCATTGTGATATTGTGACAAAAGTGGCTAATACAGTCCCAAAATATACAAACCAAAAAGTAGTAAAGTGAAAAGATTATTTTACTTTGTCAGGCAGGACTGACTGAAATTGGCAAAACGCCAATATGAACACCCTAAGAAAATAAAAAGCGAACCAAAACATAAAATACCCAAAACCGAACAACAACAAAAACCCAGCCTCAAGGCCACACACATTGACCTCTGTCTGCAAACTGGGAGGTGATTCCATGACATTGTATGGTATCTTGTGTCTTTTATGTATCTTTTATTGTATGATTGCACCTATCAAATTGCTTTTTAATGTCATTACAGAAATAAACTGAGAAGCAAGGACTGGAAATTAAAGCTGAGTAAGAAAAAAAAAAACATGCAGTTTTAGCAGTGAGGTTTGGAACACTTAGCCAGGGAAAATGATGAACTTGCCTTCTCTGAAATCCAGTTTGGCTGTCTCTTATGAAGCTTTGCTTTAGAAAAATAAAACATTAGGTTAAATGAAGAGATAATTGGCTAAAATGTTATGTAATGTGTTATAGAGGAGGTCATGTCAAATGGCCTCTTAATCCGTTCTAGCCTTTTAAACTATGAATACCTGTAGTGAATCAGCATGGTTATTCTTTGGGTATCCTAGGGACAGAAACTTGTCTAACAAGTTCAGTATTCTCCACTTTCATCCAAAGAGTTAAAAAAGACACGAAGCATAGCTCCTTCTCATGGAGATGTCATGACATACAGATTAAACATCATCTTTCCTGGAGTGCCATTCAGGTGGTTTTTTTTATTTTCCCTTTATTTAGTGGATTTTCTGTGGATATGTCTATTGAGATGCCATCTAGTATTGAACGCATACATAGTTGGACACACAAACTTAAAATAAAGGTAAATTAATTTTACTGTAAATATGCCTCTGCCTTGGCAGTTCTGCTGTGTATTTAAAATGGAACTTTTATCCTAGAAAATGCTTGTGGCAGATCTGTCTGGCTTTGTGCACTGTTCATTCTGCAAACAGCTTGGTACTCTTTTTCTCTCGGGTCAAAATTTCTTTGTGCTTTTGAAGCCTTTCTGTTTTGGTTGTCTTCTTATCTAAAAATACATTCAGGAAAGAGAATGATATTTTAAATAACATAATATGTAAATAGAAACTGTACCTTGTAAACTTTCTGTAACCTTTTTGGCAAAAAGCTTTGGGATGACCCCTATTACATTTGCTGTTGTCATTCCCTGTCCTTTATTGTCCTATTATCCTCACAATGTAGATAATATTCACTGTATTGTTATTAAATAAGTATTTAAATGCCTATTTTTCTCCTCTTCCAGAAAACAGACTGCAAGGCTGTAATTAAGACTGTGGAGAACAGCTCCTTGGATGTTAGTGGCTTTGTCCTAGATATCTGGATTTCTCAGGTCTACCTACCTCGAATGTGGGTAGAGAAGCATCCCAACAAAATGAGTGAGGTACTGCATAACTTGTACTGTTTGTGAGGTAATACTGTATATACTAAAACATAATAAACAGGAACAGTTTAGTTTTGATGGATAAAAGATTAAGAACAATTTCACACCATGGACAGTGATCAACTTGATCTGTTTTATTAAGCTGAGTATTCTTCAGAAATGAGTTTTCTTTTCAGTTGCATAGAATCTTGTTGCTTTTGTTTTATCCTTTGCCTTGTAAGAGAGTAAAAGTTTCAAAACAGTGTTCAATCATTTCTGTTTAAACACTTTTTTCTAACTGTTTTGCTGCTATTTGTGTTTCATAGAAATGTGACTACAGTGTTTGATGCACATGTTGCATTTGCAGCAGTGGAAGTGAACAAATAAAAGTCAGGGCTGAGGCTGGAACTAAATAGCTTGAGAGTCATACAATCACTACACTAATTATAAATATGTAAAATTTTAAACCATTAAATTTGTAGTGCTGTATTTACAACTTACACACAAATATTTATAGAACCTGTCAGTGGTTTATTTTAAGGCATCTGGCCTTCCTAGAAGATTTTGCATTCCATTGTAGTTATTACTACTGCAGTGATTATTCTCAAATTTCACTATTAAGTGAAAAAGACATAGCTAGCACTTCTAACACTCTGGATCACCCAGAAACTGAATCCAGCTGTAGCTGTGTCACAGAGAGCTCATTATCACTGCTGGAAAACATTAATAAAAGGTTAAGTAGTAAAGGAAGGATCAGTTCAACCCCTTTTACCTTCACCCACAGTAACTCCTTACCTGATAAATACATTTAAAACTTAAAATATGTGATTCCAGGTTATTAGAAGCTATGTCATTCTACCACATTTTTTGTGAAGTCCTGGCACTTTTATTATTTTCAGGTCCTTTTTATATTTTTTTTCCTTAAATAAGATAAAATGCTGCAGAAGTGAAATGTAAAGTCTTGGTGTTACCAATCTGTCAATCCAAGGTTGAAATTGATTAAAATAAGTAAAATGACAGATAAGATTGTTTTCTTTCCAACACTGATGTCTTTTATTTTTCTTCCTTTTAGTCAGAATTGCTTAGTTTAAATGTATTAGTTTAGGGATTTCTTTCTGATGACTGCAATAATACTGATATTCCCCCAAGGAAAGGAGAAAGAGATTCCTAATTGTGTTTCCAAACTGCAAACCTGTCCTTCCCTATAGGAAACACTTTCACTCCTTCAAGCATTTCATTGTTCTACTGTTGAAAGCCTTTTTTTTTTTTTTTTTTTTGAAAGTTTTTTACAGCATCTCTGTTCATAGCCAGGACAGTATGCACTTGTGGTTTACATATTTTTTTAATTCTAGTACTTCTCACAAACTGATGGTGGCAGTGATGATTGTAGAAGATGATATCTGTGATTTTTTTGATTTTTTTTTTTTTTTTTTAATTTGTGGAAAAGAATCCAGTGCTGTTTGCTGAGGAATGAATCAGATAGGAACATGAAACCACAAAATTCCTTTTTCAGTTTTTCATGTGAGACCTGGCATGTAGGGATAAGTTGCACTTTTCAGGCATAAAGAGTAAATGACACATATTTGTTAAAACTTAAAAATATGGCTATATTTTGCTCTCATTCCATAATAAGAACAATGAAGATGCTTGGGTACACTTCTAATTAAATAGTATTTGTCCACTGCACTGATGATTTTGTTTCTCCCCCTATAGGCTTGCATGCTTGTATTCCAACCAGAGTTTGAAACAGCATTTGAAGAAGAGCAGCTGTACAGTGAAATTATTATTTTATTAGATTGTTCAAATTCTATGGCAGGTTCAGTTCTACACCAAGCAAAGCAGATTGCTTTACATGTTTTGGAACTATTTTGTTTCAGACAAAGAGTGAATGTAGTCAAATTTGGCACAAGTAAGTTTCTCTAGTTCCTTTTTACCTGAGCGCACAACCTTTTATCTTCTTGTCATGGCTTAATTTTATGCACATCTTTATTATCAAACCAACATAAAACACTGAACTGCAACTAGGAACGTGTAGCAGTATGCAATATCTCTACTCTGATATTCCAGTCATAAAACGTAAACTTGTGCTTTCATATTGTTGCTACATACTTAATATTTTAATGCTCTTGATATCAATGTTTGTTCACAGATTTCACAGAATTTTCTTCTTTTTCAACGAACATCACAAATGATTTGGCATCGTTGAAGGAGTTTATTACAGTAAGTAAATCAGTTTGGTTGTATTCTAAAGAATCGCAGAATCATAGAACAGTTTGGGTTGGCAGGGACCTTTAAAGGTCATACAGTCCAAAGAATGCTTCTTTGTGTGGGATGCATATAATTGCAAAATTCTGTTATGCAACTTTTCCTCTGTTTTTTTCTTTTTCTTTAGGTCAACTTCTAAGATTTTTCTGTAATTTAGTCTATTTGAAGTCTATTTTCCCTAATAACAAGCACAGCCACATCTGAATATTAATTCCAGTTTGGTTTTAAGTGATTGCTTAAATTGTTATTTTGAAGCTGAGTAGCTATCAGTGTTAGAATTTTTTCAGTGTTTCCCCCCCCGATTTATTTTTTGGAGTTTCATACCTCTCATTGCCTGCTCACAGCAGAAAGAGAGGTAATTATTAACTTCCTTATGGAACTCTATAATTTGTAACTGAATGCAACACTTAGGCCAGAAGACTTTTAGTGAAAAGGAAAATGCTTTTGGCATCAAAAGAACAGGTGTAGGCTACTTGGGACAACAGGTTTTGGTTAGTACTGTATCTTGTGAGTGCTAGAAGTGGGTTCGTCATCTGTAACGAAAGCTCCTTGATGCTAGCACAATGTGTAAAATACCAATATGATGGATGTCTTGAAAATGAGATAGTAAGATGCAAATGGTGAATAATGCAGAGTAACACAAAGTGGAAAACAACACTAACTATACCTGTACAATTTTGGGCTTCACCCAGCAAAGAGATGCTGAAGCCATTGTGAATAGTCCTCTTTAAATGGTAGCCCAGTGTTCAGCAGCAGTCAAAAAGGTAAACGATTGGGTAGCTCTATAAATCTGTACTGCTGTGGCATCTTGAATACTGTAGGCACTTCTGGTCATTCCATCTCAAAGAGAAGAGCTCGAGAGACAGAAAACAAAGGTGACCTGGTGTATGGAAGACCTGCTGTACAAGGAGAGGACTTGTCCTGATTTCTTTTAGTCTCTGTTGAATCCTTACGGAGTAATCTCTTTTTCCAGGATAAACAGAGGAAGAGGTGGAATAGGGATGGTTACTTGCCATTTCTCACCTCTTAAGGGTAATAGGACACAGCAAAATGATCAGTCAGCAGATTTAAACCAAAAACCAGACAGTTCTTTTCATGCATAATAAATAGCAGAACTTCTTGTCGTGCTTGATGCTGAGACTAAATTGTAATTCAATTCAGAAAGTGGGTTAGGCAAATTAAAAGGTAGACCTCTAAATAGCTTTTAGATGCAATAGTCTGGATGACAGCTCCAGTTCAAGAAGTCCTGATATGACTGACTACTCAAAGCTCTGAAAATAACATAGGAGTAGAACTTACCATTTTTCTTATCTGTTTCTTCTGTGCCTTTTGCTTAAGCCAGAGAAGATACAGGACTAGATGGACCTTAAGCTCTGTCTTTAATAGTAATTGTAGAAGAGCAGGAACAAATAAAATTCAAGAATTAATCATTTATATTTGGAAACAAGGCATAATGCATAATGAAATAAAGATTAAATTATACATGATGTGTTATTTTAGGAAAAAATAAATTAAATTCAAACTAAAATTGTAATACTTTACTTTTCAGTCTGCTACCGCGACATTGGGAAACACTGATTTATGGAAGACCTTACGTTACTTAAGCCTGCTATTTCCTTCTCAAGGACACCGTAACATTCTTCTTATATCGGATGGACACATTCAGAATGAGAGTGTGACCTTCCAGATTGTGAAAGATAATGTCCAACATACAAGGCTATTTACATGTGGTGTTGGGTAAGTAGAAAGTTAGCTAGCAATTGTATTTTGTTTCAAACCACTGCTAATTTATTTATTTTCATTTGTTTTGTAAGGTAGTTACTTAAAGACAAAGTAGCACTAGACTCCTCAGTGATCAGAGGAACAGGCAAAACCTCACTGAAATTCATTGTAATGTAGTTTGACTGTTTTCAGTAACAGCAAACTGGAAAGATATGTACATGACTGAAACAGTGTGGTGGGTTGATGCCAGGTGCCCACCAAAGCCGCTCTATCACTCCCGTCCTCAGCTGCACAGAGGAGAGAAAATATGACTAGAAGCTTGTGGGTCAAGATAAGGACAGGGAGAGATCACTCACCAATTACTGTCATGGGCAAAAAAGACTCAACTTGGGGAAACGAATTTAATTTATTACCAGTGAAATCAGAGTAGGATAATGAGAAATAAAACCAAATCTTAAAACACCTTCCCCGCACCCCTCCCTTCTTCCCTGGGTCAACTTCACTCACTATTTCTTTACCTCCTTCCCCCGAGTGGTGCAGGAGGACAGGGAATGGGGACTGCAGTCGGTTCATCACACGTTGTCTCTGCCGCTCCTTCCTCCTCAGGGGGAGGACTCCTCACACTCTGCCCCTGCTCCAGCATGGGATCCCTCCCACGGGAGACGGTCCTCCATGAACTTCTCCAACGTGAGTCCTTCTCACAGGCTGCAGTTCTTCACAAACTGCTCCAGCCTGGGTCCTTCCACGGGGTGCCGTCCTTCAGGAACAGATTGCTGCAGTGTGGTTCCCACTCGGGGTCACAAGTACTGCCAGCAAACCTGCTCCAGTGTGGGCTCCTCTCTCCATGGGTCCACAGGTCCTGCCAGGAGCCTGTTCCAGCATGGACTTCCTATGGGGTCACAGCCTCCTTCGGGCATCCCCCTGCTTTGGCATGGGGTCCTCCCTGGGCTGCAGGTGGAGATCTGCCTCCCTGTGGAGCTCCATGGCTGCAGGGGCACAGCCGGCCTCACCATGGTCTTCCCCAGGGGCTGCTGGGGAATCTCTGCTCCAGCGCCTGGAGCCCCTCCTGCCCCTCCTGCTGCTCTGGCCTTGGTGTTTGCAGAGTTTTTTGTCTCACACATTCTCCTCTCTCTGACTCCAATTGCTGTTGCTGTTTTTTTTTCCCCTTCTTAACTCTGTTACCCCAGAGGTGCTGCCACCGTCACTTATGGGCTTGGCCTTGGCCAGCGGTGTCGGTCCATCTTGGACCCAGCTAGCACTGGCTCCCTTGGACATAGTGGAAGTTTCTAGCAGCTTCTCACAGAAGCCATCCCTGCAGCACCCTCGCTACCAAAACCTTGCCATGCAAATGCAACTTTTTTAAAAAGAAATGGGTTACATTTACAAATTTCAAGTTGCGAAGCATAAATGGGTAAGTATCAGGGAGTGTTAGTTCTTACCATATCCTGGGAGGGTTGGCTAGGATACATCAAAGTAAAGACCAGTGGTGAGGGTCATGTTCTTCAAGGACTGGCTTTTTTTTAATGACATCTTAATCATAGCTCCCACATCTCATGGCTGTGGGCCCTCCCCCAGCACTGGACAAGCACACCTTTCATGCCACGTACCAGACATTCTAGTGCTCTTCCAGAGTAATCATATATTACAACTATAGTAGAATTTGCATCAACATGCAATAAAGAACAGATGATATGTGTCCATTAGCAGCATACTGGCACCATTTTCAACATATTTACATACCTGTTAATGTTCATGTTCAGCATATTTACATTCATTGATTATTGGTTATTGATACTAGGCCTGGCAATGGATTACCTCAGTGCTAGTAGTCTGAGAGGGCATGGCTTTTGTTAATGGTTCCTCTAGACCACTAACACTGTGGTAATGTGCAACAATCTCCTTTCAGTAGGTAGGATCTGTATTTAATATGTTACATTGGTAAAGTAATAATGGTGAAGAGGTGTAAAAGAGAAGTTCACTCTGGTTCATACTCTTGTGGAGACAGAGTGTTTTCTAGAAGGCTGAATTAATAGAGACTACTACATCTGTTTTATCTGTGATAATTCTCTGCGGGTAAATGAAAAAAAAGTATTTTTACATAATGCAAGATTTGTACTTTACAGAGTTGTACAAGGTAGCAAAATCTGTAAAAAGACTTTTGAAAGAGCAGTGAACTTTAAACACAAGATGTTACGCATCTTAGCATAGATACAATTGTACTATTTGATTTTGCCTTGAGGGGTTTTGGTGAGGATTCATTAGGTCACTTAGACAGTAGTATGATCCTGTTGAAGAATGAATCTACTTTATGTCCAACAGAGATTCAAGACATACTGTGTTGTTTCTCACCCAAAAGAACTTTCCTCTGCTTAATTGTTCTCTTTTAATCCTCTATAAAGCTCTCATTTGTATATATGCCTATGAAATAGCTTCACAGTTGTCAAGACTGTTGGTGAACAGAGCCTGCTGTTCTGTCAGGCTAGTAAGTATTACCATACTGGTTATATCCATGTTGTTCAGATAGAAACATTCCCCAGCTGACACTGGACTTAGTTATAAGATAACTGTGTCTATGCTAAATAACTCTTCTGAGATTGAGGTTAATTAGTTCAAGATTAGGATCATTTTGATGCAGCCTTATTGATGTTTGGACCTAGGTTAATTTCTCTGCACAGGCCTGCACTGTGACATGTAAAAACTCAGGTACTATTGTTATGGTTTAGCCCCAGCCAGCAATTAAGCACCACATTGAGTAATTTCCTCAAATGTTATTAGGAAATCTCTAATACAGCAGCACACTCATCGGCTCAGTTGCTTTCAGTTGGCCTGTCCCCTGAAAAAAGGGTAGAATTTAAAATATTCAAATTCAAAAAGCTAGCAGTACTAATTAAAAACAAAATATTTAGAAATAGTGTCAGATTACCAATTTAATTCAATAATTACATAAGGATTTTGTTGTTGTTGTTGTTGTTGATGTTATTAGTTCCATGGCAAATCGACACATGCTGAGATCTTTGTCCCAATATGGTGCTGGAGCATTTGAATACTTTGACCCGAAATCGAAGTATAACTGGGAGGCAAAGGTACATTTATAAATCTTGGATATATTCAGTATGTGGTCATTGTCTGATGTATCACTATCTGATACTGAGTATCTTCAGTATCTCAAAATGGGAGTTACTATTTTTCATAGGATCATGTAGCTTTGCTATTACAGTAAGATAGTTTAAGAAACATTTGATAGAAGGTGGAGGGAGAGGTGCTTGCTATTAAGCCTTTTATTTTAAATGTAAATGGATACTAAGTGAGAAAGAGAAGTAGTTAGTTTGGATGTTAGAAAGGCGCTTTATTTTCAACAGGAACACATGGTATAGGAAGATATGTGAGAGCTGTAGAAAACCCTTAGTTCTTTGATAAGGGAGGGAATTTGTCAGTGTAGTTGTCCTACCTTCTCATTCAGATTGGTTACTGAATCTGTAAAAGTAAACAAGGCGGCCATGACTTATTTTATTTTTTCTGTTCTTTTTGAGAGAGCTCCTGTACTTTTCTTGGTAAGTGCAATAACACCAACTTGGAAAAAGTTTAAGGAGCATCAAGCTATAGAAATAATTGTCCCTGAATGGAAAAACATGGCTTTACTTCTGTCATAGGTCACAGTCCATCTACAACATTGTCCTTGCTATAGTGATGAGGCCTGTAGCAATTGTAGTCTGTAACTTTTGACTGTTGGTGCATCTGGAAGTTTCGGGCAATCTAGGACCTTACGTGCGGTGCTTTTCAGTTTCCCTGTATAGTTATGTGTCTGCAGCACTATTCTATGCCTTGAATATGGTCTCTCCTGGAACAGTGACAGTAGAGGAGGTGCTGCAGCAAGGCTAGTATCTGGCATATTTTTTCCTGGGGAATGGATGAAAGCATAGATTTCTGCTCTTGCTATTCTGGCTGACATTTGAGTGATATATGCAGAACTATCCAGAGCAGGAGATGTGCAGAAATGTTCACGTATCTCAGAGTTCACATGTAGGAGATGATGCTAAGTGCAGCAGGCCATATTCCCTAGCCTGTTTGGCAACCGTGATGAATAGAAACTTTACTCTCAAATTTCAGCTTTTACTTTAAAAGAAGTCTCATTATTCCAAAGCCAGTACAATAATGGCTGAGTGATTCTCCTTATTACCTCCAAACATTAGACTCATTTGTACCAGTAATAGTATGTGGCTTTAGTTGTTTAAAAAAAAAAATTAGTTCCATTCACATGGGAAATACATTATTTTCTATTGTGAGGTTCTGTTTTCTTTTGAAAGCCTGCTAACAAACAGAAGTAATTTGTTTTGCTTCTTCACACAGATACAGAGCCAGGTATCTAGAATACTTTCTCCAGGATGCAGTTCAGTTTCTATTAAATGGCAACAGTTTAATACAGGTGCACCAGAGCCAATGCAGGCTCCTGCTCAAATACAGTCATTATTTAACAATGACAGACTTCTTGTCTATGGATTCATCCCTGACTGTACTCAGGTAAAGACTGGAATACACATGCAGTACTGGATAGAAATTCATATGTAAAACAATCACAAAGGAAATATTATATTGTATTATATATCCTCTATGCAGCATGCACTTAGCTTCTTTTTCATTGTTAAATATAATTAAGTTGCTATTTAACTGTCGTTATTAGTCTTCCCTCTAAGAAGTAGAGAGGAAAAAGTTACCTAGTTTAATGTTCCTATCATTATGCTTTGATAAATACAGGATTCCTTTACTTGTGACTGTCCCCTTGTTGTAAAGGGAAATATTTAATAAACCTAGACACACAAAGAGTTACAGATTTGAATTATATTTGGGAGACAGAACAGCATGCATGTGTGCTGGTAACATAGCATAAGAGAGAGGAAACACGTTTGGTTTTTTTTTTTTCCTTTTAGGCCACCTTAAGAGCAGTAATAAATGACCAAGAACTACAGACTGTGGTGTCAACTACTGAACTACAGAAGACGACAGGAACAGTGAGTTTGGTCAACATTATTCATACATGCTGTAGTGAGACAAAAAAACTTACTATGTTCTTTTGAAGGAGTTGAAACTCCAGTTTTCAGCAGCTCTTGCACTTTTTTTTCCTTCTGATTTTTTAACACAGACCTTCAGTTTTCAGACCTTTAAAAGGAAACTGTTTTACACAGAAGTGTCACCTTTCTCCATGCTTTCTAACACAAAACTTAAGCTTCTCAGAATAGGAGGTGCTGCTGCTTATTTTGGCAGCCTGTTTGGGCTTTAGCTTTATCCTTGGGTTGGCTGTTCTTCAGGCGACCTCTGTGAAGGAGCTGCTGCACCAGCATTCTCTATCATGCTGTAAATTGTTGCAATGTGGAACATCTCATCACTAGTCTGTCATCTCTAGAAATGTATGGAAAAAGAGACAGTAAAGTGTTACTAGCCTTTCCTCTGCTTCAGTAACAATGAAGTGAGGAGTCTTTATGCAGAGGAAAGCACAGCACCCATCTTGAAAAGAAAAACAGGCTAAAAAGAACCATTTATTAAATCTAACAGGTGTCTGCAATCAATGAAATTCAAAAATCAAAATAGTCAACCATCAGTGATAATTCTGGTATGACTGTCATCCCTTCCCCACTAAGGGAAGCTAATTTGTTTTCAGATAGAAATTATTTTGTTCCCTATTTAGTGTAATCTACTTTGAAAGCTACTATCATGGATTGGTTTCCATGGACATGTTGGTTGTGTTGGTTTCCATAAGGACAATTGGTTTCCAGGGACATGTCCTTCTACAGGTAAATAAAATTGGCAAATGAAAGCAATGTATTTGCTTGCCATAATGAATTTTTGCTTTTATAAAAATACCTGTACTACAAATTCCAGATGCAGTTAAAAGAAAAGCAAGTTCTGAAAGGTGTAAACTGAAATGGCAAAATGATCAAAAACAGGGTCAAAATTAGAAACAAATTATTAATTCTTGATGCTTTCGATGAACTCTGAGAATTTCTACCTGTTTCTTTTGCCAATTTACCTTAGCTCAAAAACTAACTATTTGCTTAAGAGGTTTTCTTCAGACGTAGGTCTCTTTGGCATCTATTATATTCTTCCAAAAATGAGCCAGTGGGAATGTTTTGGCAATTGGGACTGGAATACAGCTGGGCTTTACCACATTGCTCCCACAAAGCTCCCCCTCTTTGTTAGCTTTAACATATTGAAGAGACCGAAATTGTTTTTGTTTTCTATGAAAGACTAGTTTAGTTCAAAAAATTAATTTCTGGTTAGTACAGCTCAGTATTTCCCTTTTCTGCATGCATCCTCTCAGGTCAAAAATGACTTGATAATGGTACACCTAATGATTTTTTTAAGTTGAACACTCTAGCCTCACTTTACTTTTTCCCCAGATTCGGTATTTTTATGGTCAGGATTAATTTACCTAACTTCACCTGTATAGATATTGTTGGTTAAATCTGAGGTAGTTGTCCAGGCTCTGTTTACAGTCACCGGAGAAAAATGTGTGCGTCCAGAAGGGGCATTCTTCCTACCTGTTTTTGTTAGCCATTTCAAGTTGAGATTAATTGTCTGGTAGAGTTTTCTGTTTGTTTGCATGCCTGCTTTTTTTTCCTCACCTTGACTCTAGAGAGAATGTGCACAAGTAAAGACCTGGGTATTTTTTAGTTTGCTGAAATTAAGTGAAATAAAAATGTATCTTAGGTGCAGGTTGTGATTGCTTTTCAACTGGAAAAGTAGCTTGAACCTTCCTTAGAGAATGGGATTCTGTGTAAATATGGAAGCTAATTGCGTGAAACTGGACCTCATAAACTAAAGGAAGAATTTAAAGAAAAAAAAATTACTACTCTTATCATCAGTTTAGTTTTCTTTCTAGGTGCTGCACAAACTTGCAGCAAGAGCTTTCATTAATGACTATGAAGATGGGATTCTTCATGAGAATGAAACAGAACATGAGGTTTGATAATCTGAAATAAAAAGTATACATTTAAAATTTAAAATAACAAATATTTCAGTGGAATAGAGAAGATTTTCTTGCTTTGTTAAATGTAAATAGAAGGTTGCAATTTTAATACCATTTTAAGGTGAAAGTCACCATATCGTAATACCTTCCCAGACAAGATTTTGAAAAATTTTGGGACAGTGTTTTCATATTCCCCACTATGAGAATGTCCTCTACTGGCATATTTTTCCTAATCTGTACCCTGTCATTGTAGGCCATTGGTGATTCTTCTTTTCCTGTGACGTAACATTTTAATTTCATGAAGGTCAATACATATTAGTCTAGTGGAAGTCCATAGCTTTTGTATAGGATGGAAAATTGTGACCTGTGTTTTACAGATAAACAGACTTAATGATGATCTGTTAAAAAATGTCTTTTAACTCATTAAAAACGCACCATATTGCCATCTTGGGTTATTTGAGACTTCAGACTAATTCTTCTTATAAAGTACAGCTTCTTCTTACACTAGAAGAAGGACAGAACCAAAAGAAGTCTAACTAGAGGAAATGCATATCCCTGCCCAAAGTTGAGTGAGGGAGTAGAGGAAGTTAGAAGGGAGTAGACAGTTAGGCAGGCCAGTATATTCACATGAGCTCTTACTTTTACATGTCCCTATTTAGAGTGCATAAATGTGTTTATAGGTATGTGTTCAGTTTTGACATCAACATTTCTTTTAGCTGATCATATTTTTTCTACCTGTTCCATTTGTTAATACTTAACAATCTAGATGAAGAAACAAACCTTGAAAAACATGATTATTCACCTCAGCTTGGAGAACTCAATTATAAGCCAGTTTACAAGCTTCGTTGCAGTTGAGAAAAGGGTATGTTTTCTGTATAATATCTTGTTCCCACTAGCTTCTCTGTCAAAAGACTCTAAATTCTGTAACCTTGTACATGTCAAAACTAGTCTTCGTTTTGCTGAACAATTATTATTCTTTTACAAGAGAGCTAAAACTATTATTTTTGACATTATTTTGGTTTCTTCTGCAATATAGCAAGTTATTTTCCTTTTCTATCTCTGATATTGCTGGTCCTTACTTTACAATCCAAGTTTGTCAATCTGTGTGTTCCTGTTGTGATTTGCTACAAGTGTTTGTAATTGCTGATAGTGCTGTGGGAGCCAGAGAGGTCAAAGGACAAGACCAGATGAAGAGTACTCTTCAATCCTTGGTGCATAAGTCACAGAACTCTTCCTCATAAAAAGTAAGGATGACAAACTATAGCAAACTGGCCACTATAGCCATGGATTGCTGAAGTAATGGGTTCTGGATTGGTAAAAGTCATTCTAGGGGTGTCTAGTCTGTGTCAGGTGGAAGTCACAAGGAAAGTAAACTTGAAAAATCTCTCTTTAATATTGCAGTGAACTGTGGAACTTTTTCATTTGTTTTCACTATTAGAACAGTGGTAGGAGAAACTAAAGCTTTGCAGCAAATGGAAAGAAATACATATAAATGACAACCTTGAAATTCAAGAGTCGGTAAGAAGAGTTTTCAAATGGAAAGCTGTATCACAATAAGCAAGATGATATCTGTTGGATTAAGTATTAGATGGGGCACAGAGAATTGGAATTCTTCTGACTGAATACATGTGTGTACATTTAGCAATAAATCAGTCATTTGCCTTCCTTTCATGGTCAATGGAAATAAATAGATATTTCTAGAGCTTGATTAACCTCATCCTGAAGTTAAATACCTAAACCAGTTCAGATTACTTTTCTCAAGAGGTCTTTTTCTCAGCACTGATTATAGGGGTTACCTATAGTCACTATTTCAGACCCAAGGATCACTTCCTGCAAGCTCAAGAGCAGTCTATTTCAAATGAACAGGAATTAGGAAAAAATACCAGGAGGCCTGGCATGAACATGGGTGAACAAGGAACTCCTGGAAAAACTCAAAGATAAAAAGGAAGTATACTGACAGTGGAAGCAGGGACAGGTAACCTGAAAGGAATAGACACTATCTGAGCATGCAGAGACATCATTAGGAAAGCTAGAGTCCACATGGAGTTGAACCTGGCAAGGGATGTCAGAGAAAACATGAAAGACTTCTGTAAGTACGTAAGTGGCAAAAGGAAGACTAGGGAAAATGTAGGCCTGCTGCTGAATGGGCAGGGGAACTGGTTACACAGGACATGGAATAGGCTGAGGTACTGAATGTCTTTGTTGCCTCAGTCTTTAGCAAAACCAGCCTTGGGAAATTCAAGGCCCCAGAGACTAGAGCAGAATTTTAGAGCAAGGAAGATGTACCCTTGGTGGAAGAGGGTCAAGTGAAGGAATAGTTAAGCAAACTGGACATACGTAAGTCCATGGGTCCTGGTGGGATGCACCCACGAGTGTTGAGGGAGCTGGCTGGTGTTATTGTGAGGCCACTCTCAAAAATCCTTGAATGATCATGGCAACTGGGAGAAGTGCCCAAAGACTGGAGGAAAGCAACTGTCACTCCTCTGTTCAGGAAGGGCAGGAAGGAGGACCCAGGGAACTACAGGCTGTTCAGTCTCACCTTGATCCCTGGGAAGGTGGTGGAGCAGCTAATCCTGGAAACCAGTTCCAGGCACATGAAGGATAAGACAGTCATTGGAAGTAGCCAACGTGGATTCACCACGGGCAAGTCATGCTTGACTAACTTGAAAACTTTGAAGATTAAATGACTGACATGGTAGATGAGGGGAGAGCAATGGATGTTGTCTACTTGGACTTCAGTAAGGCTTTTGACTCATATGATGCTCAATACAGAAGCTGATAAAGTATGGGCTGGATGAGAAAACAGTGAGATGGATTGAAAACTGTCTGAATGGCCAGGCCCAAAGGGAGGTCTGGTTGAAGGCCAGTCACTACTGGTGTACCCCAGGGGCCAGTAGTGGTGCCTGTCCTGTTCAAAGTCTTTATTAATGTTCTGGATGGTGGGACAGACTTGTACCTTCAGCAAGTTTGCTAATGATACAAAACTGGGAAGAGTGGCTGATACACCAGAGAAGTCATGCTGCCATCCAGAAGTACCTCGATAAGCTGGAGAAATGGCTGACAGGAACCTCATGAAGTTCAAAAAGGAAAACTTTTGCAGCTTTTTACCATGTCCAAAACAGATCTTTCATCATCGCAATTTATATTTCATATGGTATATTAACATAAATAAAAGTATGCCTGAATGAAGAATTCAATGGAGCGGCTGGATAAAACAAGGATAACTTTTCCTATTTTTACTGTTTTGTCTTGGTGTCTACATTACTATGAAAAAAACAATACTGGTAGCATATGTACATTATAAGAGTTAGCTTTTTCTGGAAATACTACTTTCCTGAGTAACAACTCCACCATTCTCAATTGAAGATCAAAAGACACACATGCATTCCAAAAAGCACCTGATTAAAAAGCAAGTATAAAATGCAATGCTGGGAAGTTATTAGAAATTCCCAGGTGAAGGACTGCTTTTCAAAATAAGATAATTCAACTGAGTCAGTTTAAATATCTTTCTGTAATGCACCTGAATATTTTATCTGGTACGTAACAGAAGCAATATTCAGAAGAAAAAATTTGTTGCAGATTAGCAAGGGAGCACCTGTGTGATTTCATGAACTAGTTGTTTACAAAGGGTGTCAACAGATTATTTATTATCTGTCATTCTGATTTTTATGTATCTGTTTTGGCAATTCTTCAAAAGATTCAGTTCCACCTTTTTGTTGTTTGATATGATGCCTCTCAAGAAACAGGATTCTAGAATGTTATGTTCGAATTATGTCTGTAAATATAATAGCTTTAATCTCATTTCTAGTCTAGGATGACTTTTTTTGACCCAGTGGAACAAAACATTGCAGACTTCTTAAGGCAAAAGCTCCTACACAACACAATGCAGTACCATGCAGATGTACCTAGACTAGCCCATTCAGCTTGGCATTATACTATGCTATGTAATTTGTCATCTTAACATGATTTTTCAGAATGCAACGTATTTTAAGCTATAATAATGCTTATGTTTGCTTTCCTTTAAAGGGTGGCAGTAAGATTCTGACAAAAAGAACTGTGCAAGAGTTGTTTTTTATTGCAGTTAGGTAGATCTGAACAAATTATACATATAAATATATACTGTCCACCTTTATATGTCATGTGAATCTGATTACTGACAATACATAGTCCCTCAATATAGTAAAAAATGTGAAGTTAAATTTACTGGATTTTTGTATATACTGAGTATTTTTAATGTACTGCATTATCTGCTTATTCCCTGTTTTCAACATATTTCAAAATCATGAAGAAAAATGCACTGTCTCTATAATGCCAGACAATTTTCAGGTTCGTAACTGTGATGCATTTTAATTTAGGATGCTAATGAAACTTGTTCTGATGATGCTCCAAACATCCTGGAAATTATAACTCAAGAAGATGTAGATTTTTTACCTTACATGGACTGGGACCAAAGGTCAATGGAATCTGGTGGCTTTTTTTCAGAAGAAATTGCCTTTGCCCTGGTAACGACATTTAATATATGTTCTTATTGCTAATGTTTTTTGTATATTATCCAGTTGTGGCAGTGTGTTGTATGTGTAACTATATAATAATTGTTCATGAAATCTGTTAAATTTTTAATTACTTTCAATATAATTGATGCCACACAAGTACTGTATGCAATTTTATTGTAAACATGAAGATTCGGAGGAACTTGTCCCAAAAGTAAAGTACACTTAAAAATATCATGAGCACAGCAGAAGTTTTGAGAGACAATATGATAATACAGACTTCTCCCTTCCAGAAGAAACTAACACCTGTTAGAGGATTCTCTCACAAGAACATGCTAGTGTAGATGAAGCCTTAAATTCAATTCTAAGAAACTGGGGAGAAAGTTTCAAGGAAAATCAATGTATTGATCCATAACTAAGGCTCCACTAGGAGAGGGGTACAGCCAAAGCAGAGACACTCTGGGAATGGAGATAAGCATGACTGGAAGAAGAGGACATACTGCTAGCATGCAATGGGACGAGACTGAGATAATGGGGGTGCAATGAGGGAAAACTGAACTCGTGAAATTGGATGTTTGCTAGTTATGGTAGCTCTCTCTTGCCTTTGGAAACTACAAGAGATGCCTGCATCAGTTAGCCATCAGGTATAATTCTGTCAGTCCGTAAAGTCTTAGCAGATTAAAGATTTACGTCTCCAAATGGTGTAGGGGACTCAAGAAAATCATTATTTGTCTATTAAATTATGTTGTGCATGACCATGATGTGCATTTAATGCAACTTGGGAGCATCATCTCAGCCTATAGTCTTGTAATGTATAGACTGTAATCTAATCTCTTAGATTGTGAGCTTTTTAGAACAGTATCTGCATGTGTGTTCTCTAACTTAGGTCAACTCATATAAAGCCATTTTCCCAATCCTGTGGCCCAAGAATTCCTAGGCAGAAGAGTACCAAACATCCGCATTGGTGTATGGTGGCAGTACAGCCCAGGCTCACTAGCTTGCATGCAGCAGCTACTGGACCTCAGAACTGCAGCACAAGCAGGATCCACACCTCACTTTGTGTAGATCTATCTTCTGTGTATATACAGCAGTATTGTACAGTGGAACTTGCTTGGCTCATAATCATCATTGTATTAATCATTTTTATCTTAATAATGTAAAATACCTCTCTGCTCATATTTTTTTCACAGTCAAATTTTCCTCTGAATTTGCCCAGTGTAAGGTAGAAGAGAGTAAGAGATTTTTAGTTTAACTGATGTATTACTTTCATTTTGAACATATGAATGACAATATAATGGTACTGCACACAACGTAAGAAAAAATACTGTTTTGATTAAAAAGCAAAAAATGCCTTACTAATTCTAGAATTATTTTGTTTTCTTGTAATTTTACTAAACAGGCATGTTCCCCAGCAGTAGGAGATGTTTATTCCGCTGATTTCCTAAGTGGGAAAGGTGAACCTGAAAGCTTCCAATTTCAACCTGAAGAAGTTCCTGTTAGCCTAAAGAGCATCTCACGAAAAAGCATGGTGCAGGGCTTTCTAAATGTTTCTGAACCTGAAAGTAGCATTTGCAGTCTCAGATCAAATTTCAGTTCTGATAGAGATATCACAAAGGAGACATCATCTGGAACAAGGTCTCCTTCACTATATGACCTTCATCTGCTGGAAGTTGCTGAACCTTTCTCATCATTTGGTTTTAAACCTAAGCCAGGAGGAGGAATTGATCTGACTGAACAAAAGTCACTTCAGACACCTGCATTTACAAAATCAGATGTTTGCGTGGATGTTCCTGAACCTGCTCTTCCTCCTCCTCCCTGTGCCTCCTCTTCTCAAAAATTGGGGGGATGCATGAAACAAGTTTATTCCTCTTGTGTTGCTCCGATGCAGGGTTTAGTATTGTGTGGTTCACCTACCCCTACATGCAGAAATTCTGAAAAGACTAATGTTGAAAAACAAGTTATTCCCAAATTTCCTATTTTTCAAGCTAATAGAAAAGAAGCATCACCATGGTTAAGGTGTAAGAAAAAGGCAGAACATCAGTGCGATGTTACAGCTCCTGAAGAAGGATTCACTGAGGAGTTTAAGGTTGTGGTAAGCCTTCCGTTAGTAGTCTCTCATATATAGGATGCTACACATGTCATGTTGAAATCCAAGCTGCATTCAGCCAATGAAAGCTGCCTTAAATGTTTGCATTTCAAGGTTCATGGTTGTACAACCAAAAAAGAACATGGTAAGGCTGGTAACGAGGCTGCTTTCCAATTAAAGAAATCTGAACCTGAAATGCAGAAAGCTTTCTTTTTCTTTGATTCATTTTTAGTTATTCTTTTTCAAAGTGACAAATCTTATACTCCGAATTCTGCCACTTGTTTCTTACTTCTCTAATAGGCGACTTTTAAAATGGAATTACTTTGTATCATGAAGTAGTAGCTATATGGGTAACGGTGGTAGAGCAAGATTCCTAATGAACATTATTCTGTTTGTTCAGGAACAATCTTGCTGTTCTATGCCAACACAGAGCATTCAGCAAAGACTTCCGCTCAGCTCGGTAAATAGGAATGAAATTCCTGAGCTCCAAAACCAGGTGCAGTACCCATCCTCTGTTCATGCATTACCTAAAAATAAGATATGAGTAGAAGGGAAAACTGTCTTCAGCTCTGCCTTCTGATAAAGAGTTTGTAAATGATTTTGCTTTCTTTGCTTTATAAACTGGTTTTATAAAAAGCATCATGACACCGAAGTCATGCTATTTTTTGTTCCTTTCATGGTTAATCCATCATGCTTAAGAAACAGTATAAAATCAGAACCAATAAGTGATGATAACATCTCCAGAGTCAAATTTTGCTCTGGATTGGCCCAGTGTAAGGTAGAACAGGGTAAGAAATTTTTATTTTAAACAATATGGTTTTTTATTTTCATTTTGAACATACAAATGACAGTATAATGATAATGTGCATAATACAAGAAGACATACAGTTTTGTTTAAAAAGAGAAAAAATGTCTCACTAACTCTGGAATTATTTCATTCCTAATTTTGCTAAACAGGAACGTTCTTCAGCTGTAGCTGATGTTTGTGCTTTCCTAAATGGGGGAGAATGAACCTTTTTCAACTGGAAAAACAGGTTTCTTTTTAAAAAGAGGAGTGGGTTTTAAACTTTTAAATGCAATTAATTTGTATCGTGATGTAGCAGCTGCACGGGTAATGGTGGTAAGATTCTTAGTGAACATTATCCTCTCCAGGAACCATCAAGGTGCTTTATAACAACAGAGAAAGAAAGGATTCAACAGAGAATTGAGTGGACTTCTGCAAACTGGAAAGAAATTTTTGCACTCCAAAATCAGGTACAGCACCCATAGTCTATGTGTGCATTACTTAAAAAATATATATAGGTAGCAGAAAAAAAGATTTTTACTTTGTGTCCTGAGATAAAGTAAAATGCATTTATAAAATGTTTATAGACACATTTTACAAGTGTATGATGACATCAGTCATGCTATGTTTTATTGCTTTCACGGGTAACTCAGCAATGGATACATAAGGAATAGTATAAGATCAGGGCCAACAGGTAGCAATACACCTCCAGAACCTTTTTAGAGCCTCCATCAGTTTGCAGCTTGGGGACTTCCTGGGACAAGTATAAAAACATATAGGGGAAGCTAAGTGGAAGAAGTGGCTGCAAATAATGCACATTATGCAAGAAAAAAAGTAGTTGGGTTTTAGAGGATTGGACTGAGAGATCTTGCAGCAGGAACTTCCCCTGGACAGTCAGACCAACTGCTAGGGCAACTGAATGAAACCATACTGTCCAAGAATCCTGCAGGTAGGAGTCAGAGCAGATAATGTTTAGCTTTGTTGTTTTGGTATGTCCTTTGTTGTGGGAGGAGTCTCTGTTCCGCATAACCCATCGCCAGTTTGGTGAGCTTACCTACTTAAGAGGTGAGGTCATGATAAACAGTCAGATACTGTTGGTCACACAGTCATATCTGTAAGTAATAAACAGGAGGTTTTCAAGAATATTACATGATCCAAGTGAAGAAGCCACCGTGGGATGCCCTCAGTGGAGACTCTTGTCGTTTATCAGCAGAGATTGGCCATTCAGTATGGTGGTATATTGAATTCCCTTTTGCTGGGAATACACCCTGTACACTAGATTCAGTAAGTCTTTAAGGTGCCTCAGCTTCATGTTCCTTAGTGCAGCACAGCCCGCCTAGTATTTGCAGCCTCATGACTCTTTCTTCCTATTTTTTTATAAAGTATTGCCTCATTTTTTGTATCATTACCTTTATTTTATGTACAAAGTTTGTATGTGAAAGTAGTAAAGTATAGCCGACCTCAGGATCAAGAAGAGATACATTTTTCCTATATTTTTGACAGGACACTTCTATCAAATTATTTTTAAACACTGAACCATTACTACATGCCACATGGATACAATGGAGATAAGAGTAGTAGACTTGTGATGGACTTTTGTGGGAATTAAGTCCCAAAGTGCAGTTCAAGATTTCTTCTTTTTAAGCAAAATTGCCAATTGTTGAATTTTAAAAATAAAAGTTTCTCACAGTTTTTTACACTAATTAAACTTAGTATTCTACAGATTTTCACTTTTTACATAATTTGGATAATTACTATCTAAACATCCATTTAAAATCAGATATTTTCTTCTCAATTATATTATATGAATGGTTATACATTTGTGTCTACAGTTACAGTTTTCTAAGACATAAAGCTGCAAGGACAGGTAGAGTTTCAAAAGTATTTAATATTGAAGAATAAGTACTTGAACATCCTATTGAAAGCCTGTCTTCCATCTGTTCTCAGGGTAGCAAACTATTTGGCAGATAATTTTAATCATGAGAGTTGTCTAATCTTTGGCAGGGAAAGTCAGATAAAATAGGATTTTTTTTTTTTAATACTGCATTTAACACATATAGTAAGCAATGATTTTATAGAGATTTTGCATTCTCAGCAGAGGAAAGGGTTCCTTTATTGTTTCTTTTGCATAAGAGGAACGCTTATTTTTTAGTACCTTTAAAAATAATTTCCTGAAGGAATTTGTTTCAAGTAAGTTTGAAAAGGCTAGTGTTGTCATTGTGCATACTTTATATGGGAATGATTTTGAAATTACTTTGTTCTTACTGTTCAAGGGTTTTTTGCAAGGTAGTCTGACTACCACATTCCAGGTCAATTACAGACATTTGATGGTATATCAAAGGTTTTTGAAGTTTAGTATTTGAATCACCTAAATTGATTATGTGGATTTCAGTTTTTCTGTTTCTGTAAGCTTTTAAAAAAGTATTTAAAGTAATTCTGCTATGTCTATTTTGTTCTTGCCAAATACATTTTCAGTGTCCTGAATCTTTGGCTTATCCATATCTTTTTCTATTCCATAGGATGGCTCTTGGAATCTCAGTCCACAGTTGGGAAAAATCTTGAAATTTGATGTTGATCATTTAATTAACAATTTTCTTATTAGAAAAGGCATTCAGTCACTTGGTAAATACTTTTCTGTCATTAAAAAGCAGTACATTGTATTATATTTCAATAATACAATATTTCAATAATACATTTCAGTGTATTACTGTGTTATTACTCTATATGTCTAGTGGAACTCTCAGTAAGATATGCTCATAATTTAAATGGATTTCTTAACTTGAAGTTTTCAAAAGTGCCTAATTTTAATAATACAGTTTCTTCTCAATTTCTCTCTCAATATAGTGTCCTGATAGTTAAGCGCATCTCCTGGAGAAATATGTGGAGGATGTGGGATAGTTGGAGTAGCAACAGAGGTTCTTTTATGTCAATTATTTTACCTTCTATATTAATATCTACTAAAGAAAAAAAGGGAAGAAAAGTTTCTCCTAGGAGAGAGGCAGAGATTACTTCTTCTTTTCACATTTCCAATAATATGAGTTATATTTATCTTACACACACTGTCTGCAGCATTCAGTAGGCACTCTCCCTGTACGCACTTTGCTGTTTGATTCTGTCTATTGGTGCTCTTTGCTGGCAGCAGACCAGAAAACTTAGGAGGCAAGAAAGGCAATTCCTTCTTTCTAAATTATTAGAGGGTGCAGTCCTTTCATCAAAGGACAAAAATCTTACAAGTTTCCCCTTATTGCATATATTGAAATCAAAGTAGATTAGAACCCAAGCAAACACAAACTGCAGAAATCCCAACAAAGCTTTACCAAGTTTAAGTTTGAAAGCCAGGAGTGTGTTTGTCAAATCACTTAAGTGAATACTCTTGATAGTAGTGACAGTATGGTGAAAAAATTAAATAGCATTAGTACAATTGATGTTTTAAAGTCATGTGGAGTACTTTGCAGAAGGTACCTTTTATGTTGTCAAGAAATCATTTAAATAGTAATACCGCTTCCCTTTTCTTCTTCCTGAGGCCCAAATGGAAAAGAAAAACTACTGCAGTTGATTGCTACTCTTCTTGTGCTACAGTTCATACGCTGCACAAAGGAATTGAAAGGGATAGTTTTCAAAACACTAATGAAACTGGATGATTCATCTAATTCAAGGTATGCTTTTAAATAAAATCTTATAACTACTTAATGTAGTAGTAAAAACCTTCTCAACATACAGAAGATTGATTTCATTATGGAGAGTCAATGACTATACTACAGAATATGGCTATAGAAAAGGGAATGAAAGGTATTAATCATATTGGTAGCACGTGGTTTCTTTAAGAGGATGGATGGAGGAAGGACTACTTTACAAAATATGTTACAGAAATTGAGAAGTAGAGAAGTAGTAAAAGATATTTTATACTACTACTTAGAATCATTGAATAATTCAGGTTGGATATGACCTCTGGAGGTCATCCCTTCCTTAAAGCAGGGCCAACTCAGATGTTGGATAAGTTGTTCAGGATCTTGCCCAGCTGAGTTTTAAATATCTTTAAGGATGGAGATTCATCAGCCTCAACTTTTTTAAGGGCAACCTCTTCCAGTATTTGATATCACTCATTTTAGAAATTAGTAAAAAAATTCTATTGGACTTTTCCTTCATGTAGCTTGTGCCTGTTGGCCTGCACTCCTTTTTAGGATTATATTTACAGCTTGATGTTCTTCACAAACATACATCATAAAATATTCTGGACAAGACTGTTGAAATTATTGGAGCAGATGATTCTTCACAGCACAACTACCACCCTTTCCTTTAGCTGTGGGGAATGCTGATGCTGGTTTATTATGAACTCTGCCCCCCTCACTTCTGTATGTCCCAGTGCTCTATTATCTTTTGAATATAGGGTCTCTGCATGTGGAAATTCCCTTTCTTTGGGGGTGAAATGAACAGTTATCAGCTGGCCATTTTTTTGGTATAGAGGAATGACAAAAGTCTTAAAAGAAGCATGAAGGAACAGGCCTCCAGTGAGCCACCAACAGATTCCTTGTGCCAAAATGGGAAGCTTTACACACTTCATACTTTACAGGGCATGTAGTAACAGGATAAAGAAGCAGTCAGGAGAGCCCTGGAAATCTTCCTCCCTCTTTTGAAACTCATTGACAGAGGGAAAAATTGGTTGTATAAGTTTGGCTACTCTAGTCAGGGATACAAGTAAAGCTGCATTGACTGCCAGAAGAAAGCAGTTCTAACATACATAAATGTACAAAGGAGAGGTCAGGTTTGTCTTTATGAAATCACAGAATCACAGAATCATTAAGGTTGGAAAAGACCTTCAAGATCATCAAGTCCAACCATCAACCCAACACCACCGTACCCCCTAATTATGTCCCAAAGCGCCACATCCACATGTTTTTTAAACACTTCCAGAGGTGGTGACTCCACGACCTCCTTCGGCAGCCTGTTCCAATGTTTGACCTCTCTCT